CCCTTGTGACCCTTCTGTGGGTCACAATTAGATGTCCAATTGTCTACAAATGGGCTTTGGGTTTCCACTCCAACCCCTCTCTTTTGCATTGATATGATTATTTGTTTTGGATCTTTTGATACCTGATACCTGATCCTGTCGACACCTCATGATCACACAGGCTGGTGTGTTTCTCCCATGTGGGCTTTGTTGCTTCCCTGCTAGAAGACCGCTTGTTTAACTTCAAACCTTTAAGACCCCAGATGCTATAATGTTTTGATAATCAGGAACCATCCGCTTTCTTCACCACATTTGCTTATGCACCCATTTTATTCTCAACGATCATGTCAGGAAGGTGAGTGTCAAGGGAGGCCTTGAGTAGAGGCCCAAAGTCCATCTGTTATCTTAATACTTAACATATAAATATATGTACATTGGCTTCTATCCCTATCATTATAAATTAATATATTTACATACATACATGTCTATACCTACACCTTTGTAAATGGCTTTTGCCACCTAGTTATTTCCTCTATTTCCTTTTACTTTCCTCCTGTCCCACTATCATGTTCGACCTTCATTTGGCTCTTTGTACTTCCTTTCAGACCTTTAGAGTATGGAAAAGCAGATTACCTGCCTGCCGCCCATAAAGCCAACCTTTCAGCTGCTCATCAAGCACTTCACCGTGTGTGCCATCCAGGGACTTGTGCTAAGCAGAGACTATCAGTTGTGAATGAAGAAAAGACAGTCCAGGTAGACCCACTCATGGCTGCTCTAACTGTACACCTGCTTTCTTCAGCAGAACCAAAGTCAGCAACTCACCCTGACTCTTCCGGCCTGCTGCCTTCCTCCTGTCGGCAATTCCTCAGCCAACACGTGCTTCAGATCTGCCCAGGCGTGAGCGCAGAGCACCACTCCCACCCGGGGGCTTCCAGTGTGGGGCATGGGAAGCACTCAGAGGAGAAGCCAGAGCAGCAGGATTCTGGTCAGGGCTGCTGGAGTGAAAACTCAGATGGTCAAGAGAAAGAAGACATCTCCAAACGCTTGTGTGTGAAGATGAGGCGGAGAAAGACTTCCAGGACATTCTTTAGCTCAGCCCAGAGAAAGTCTGCAAGAGAAGACCATATAGGGGTAGTAGAGCCCAACTCCACTCGACCAATGATGTCTGCGGGAACAAAGAGAGCGATGAAGGAATTAGAAGCCTCAGGGCGTGGAGCAGTCAACCAGAGAGAAGACGGACCGGATGTTGGTCTAAAGTCAAATGTGATCACCAACCAGAAGTCCTTCCTCCGGGAGAAGCCCCATGTGTGTAGCGAGTGTGGGCGAGGCTTTAGTTACAAGTCAGTTCTCCTCATACACCAGAGGACACACTCAGGGGAGAAGCCATGTGTGTGCCAGGAGTGTGGCCGAGGTTTTAACTACAGGTCAACCCTCCTCATACACCAGAGGACACACTCAGGGGAGAAGCCTTACATGTGCCTCCAGTGTGGCCGAGGTTTTACCCAAAAGTCAGGCCTTCTTAACCACCAAAATACACACTCAGGCGAGAAGCCACACATGTGCAAGGAGTGTGGGCGAGGCTTTACCCAAAAGTCAGTCCTCTTCATGCACCAGAGGACACACTCAGGGGAGAAGCCACATGTGTGCAAGGAGTGTGGGCGAGGCTTTACCCAGAATTCATCTCTCATCAGACATCAGAGGACACACTCAGGGGAGAAACCACATGTGTGTAAGGAGTGTGGGCGAGGCTTTAGCCACAAGTCCCACTTGATCTCACACCAGAGGACACACTCAGATAAGAAGCCATATGTGTGCGGTGAGTGTGGGCGAGGCTTCACCCAGAAGTCAGGCCTCCTGATCCACCAAAGGACACACTCCGGGGAGAAACCGTATGTGTGCAAGGAGTGTGGCCGCGGCTTTACCCAGAAGTCCCACCTCATCATCCACCAGAGTACACACTCAGGTGAGAAACCACATCTGTGCAAGGACTGTGGGCGAAGCTTTAGTCACAAGTCAACCCTCGTCATCCACCAGAGGACACACTCGGGCGAGAAGCCCTATGTTTGTGGATGTGGCCGAGGGTTTACCCAGAAATCAGTCCTCCTCATGCACCAGAGCACACACTCCGGGGAGAGGCTGTATGTTTGCAACGAGTGTGGCCGAGGCTTTAAGTGGAAGTCAGGCTTCCTGTACCACCGGAAGACGCACTCTGGGGAGAAACCCTATGTGTGTGGTGAGTGCGGGCGACGCTTTACCCAGAAGTCAGGCCTCCTCATGCACCAGCGGACACACTCAGGGGAGAAGCCCCATGAGTGTCAGGAGTGCGGGCGAGGCTTTACCCAGAAGTCCGGCCTCCTCATGCACCAGCGGACACACACCGGGGAGAAGCCTCATGGGTGTCAGGAGTGTGGGCGGCGCTTCAGCTCCAAACAAAGCCTCCTTCGCCATCAGCGGGCTCACTTGGGATAAGCCCCAGGCCTGCCATGAGGATGGCCCAGACAGCATCAGGCACACTCCGATGTCTGCCGTGAGTATGGCCAAGGGTTTAACTGAGTCCTTCCTCTGCCTGAGGACACAAAACAGAAGGTCTATGCAGGGAAACTGGGGAGCAATTGGAGAAAAGGGCACTATTCCCTCTACATCAGAGAACAGGGTTTTTAAAAAAATCATTTTATTGGGGGGCTCTTATAAATCTTATAGTAATCCAACATTCAGTTGTATTAAGCACACCTGTACGTAAGTTGCCATCGTCATTTCCAAAACATTTTCTTTCTACTGGAGCCCCTGGTGTCAGCGCCTTCCCCCGCCCCACTGCCCGTTGCCTCCTTTCTCCCACATTTCTGTTCTTCGTCCCCCTCGGGTGGGGGTGGGGGTTATAAATCCAACCTTATGATAGGTTCCCCCTTTCTTCCCCTTCCCTCTCCCTGCCCCTACCATTCCCCTATCATGATATTGCTACTCCCACTATTCCTGGGGGGTTATCTGTCTTGGATGCCATGTGTGGAGAGCTCTTATCTGTACCAATGCGTGTACTCCAGTTTAGCCAGATTAGTAAGGTAGAACTGAGTCACGATAGTGGGAGGGGAGGAAGCATTCAGGAACTAGATGAATCTTGTGTTTCATCTATGCTATACTACACCCTGGTTGAATCATCCCTTGTGACCCTTCTGTGGGTCACAATTAGATGTCCAATTGTCTACAAATGGGCTTTGGGTTTCCACTCCAACCCCTCTCTTTTGCATTGATAT